GTAGCTCTCTCTGGCCAAAGGGATGCGAGTTCAAGTCCTGCCAGAGAGTGTAAATTTTTCAATAAGATTTTTCAAACATTCAGGTCAGTAGATGAAAATATGTTTAATAAATAAAAGGAACGTCTATTCAAACAATAATATCTACTAAAAAATAATGTTTAAAGTGAATGATTAGATATCTTTTATTATAAGAGATCACAATAAAAAAACGTTGAAATCGCTACACAAAAGCCTTCATGTTTCAATACTATGACTGAACTTCTACTCACCTAAAGAAGTACAATCATAGTATTGAAACATGAAAGCTTTTGAGTAGTGATTTCAACATGTTTTTATTGTAATCTCTTATAATAATATTAATATATTGCTCTACTTTGTATTGAACACTTTTTTTAAAAGTAAATGCCATGAACAGTGGAATTTTACTCCATCTGATCTTTCTCTCATATCTCCACAAAAAAGTACATCTTGATAAAACTAACAGAAAGCCTACCAGATAACCATAAAAAAACATAAAAAGCTGATCCAAATATAAGATGACCCCTTCCACTATTTTATGTCCAAGAAATAAGCAAAAATCAAAAGCCAAGGCAGTTATCAACACATTATGTTCAGACGGCAGTTTGGTAAATTCCCATGAGTGGAGACTATTTTTATGAAGTTTTAATGTTTTGATATATACAAGGTTTTTTAAGTTATCATTTCAAATGTTTGAGAGCTCAATCCCAGACTCAGGCAGTGTGTACTTGCACTGAATGGAAACAGATGCGCTATAACTGAACAGTACTAAAATAAACAGTACAGAAAAGATGAGAAATTCAAAATTATGGCAAAAATTTCTTGGTTCTTTCTTTTTTTTTTTTTTTTTTTTTTCATTTTTTGAGCTTTTTAATTAAATTTTGGCTGATTTTGTTTGCATTCAATTATTATAAATTAATGTTCACTTCAGTGTAATGATCTTCAGAAAGGTATGAAGCTATCTCTTCACACCAGGCCAGACTGAAGTCACTAGTTTTGAGTAAAATCCAATCTCAGCAAAGGAAAAATGTGTTCAAAACCATGGAAAGGGTACAAGAAAAAAAAAATCATCTCTTTATCCTTCCAAACAGTCATAGCCACAATGCACAAATTTACAGATATCATTAAGAAAATCATCACCTATATGATAGCAGATGGCATCAAATAAAAAATAAACAAAAATGGAGAAATTCAGCACCAATATCATTAGCAAGATGGTTTGCAGATTTTATTAAATTATAAAAACACTACTAATGTTAATGTTAGGTTTTTTGGGGTTTTTTTTTTTAACTTGATTCAACAAGAGGAATCAAATATTGATCAGCTACAGTGTTCAGAATCAACTTGATTACTCATACAGTTGATTTATAATATTCAGGAACAAAAACTATTTTTCTTATTTTTTCTATATTTCTTAAATAAGTTTGATTTAATAATCTAGTTGAATTTTTAACATTAAATCAAAAAGTCGGGGAACATGGGGTAATTACCTCAAATTTTGGAAGTATTGAAAAATTTAAAAAACACATTATGATCGACTGAGAGAAAGTAAAATTTCTAGAGTTGAGTAGACAAGAGAAGGGAGATAACTCTAAACAAATCTTTCAGACCTAGACACAAATACTTGGTTATTCTGGAGTTGGTTTATTTTTTTTTTTTTTTCATTTTTTAGTTTTTGTTTGCTTTTGTTTCGTTTTTATTAAATTTTGGTTGATTTCGTTTGTATTAAATTATTGCATCTGTGCAAAAAATTCAACATGCTAATATTTTGCTCAAAAAATGTTACCAAGATATGTTAAGAAAAACTACATTCATTTCCACAATGAGATTTTGCATCTTATACAAAAGTTAGTATAGTTAAAAGCTAACAAGAAATACAACAAATTCTTTAAAATCTAATATTTAGTCAATTCCTAAGGCACTCCAGGTCCATGCATTCATGTAGTTCTCAGCAATACCCTATTAAGTACTTAAAATATGTAAAAAATATTTACTAGTCTCAATCAGACACAAGGCTACAATAATGCAACACATTCAAATGAACTTAATGGTAGTTCTAGCTTGGCAGCAAGGTCTCATCAATTCACACTTGAATTGGCTAAGATGTAACCGTAAATTCCATGCTAACACTTTCTTACACTATTTACATTGTTCAGACTGTTGTCTTCATCTTTAGTGCCATAACAATCAGAATAGTGTCTTTGTGGCTTTACTGCCTTGCATGGGGTGAAGTGATTAAAAAAAAAAATTTTAAATAAAAAAAACAGTTTCTTCTCTCACACTTCTTTATTATAGAACTCTTCAGGCTTCTTGCTTTCCTGACAACTATGATCTTCAAAAATTTAAATGCAATGCCAATCATCATGTGTCTCCTTGAATCCTGGCCTTTTTGTTGTCCTCCCTCAATAACATTTTCATAGTTTCTTTCACTCTCAGTAACCCCACCCTATACAACTTAGTAGCTTTATCACCATATTTGGGTGAAATCATTACAAAAAGAAGGGGGGGGCATAAAGTTCCAGCAATAGTCAATCTAACTTTCCTTTTTTGCTTCCCCTCCCCCAAACTCCAAGATGAAATAGGAGGTGGAGTTTTATACACCTTTAAATATGGTAATAGTTGTGTTGGATACTAGGTTTAGTACATGTCTGTTTTTTTTTTGTTGTTGTTTAACTAGAATTTGGTCCATATCAACATAAAAACTTATCTTTCACGCAAAATTGACGAAAAAATAAATAAATAAATATGGTGTTCTTCTATTTCTATTGAGCTGACTTTCAGTATTGAATAGGTAAGCTAATTCTTTCAGTAGTTTTATTTTCACATATTGTTCACTATTATCATGACTACATTCCACAGGAATGACCACTCTTTTCCATCTATATGAGGCAGTTTCAAGGTCACTTTCCAGACAACAGCAATTCCATTTTTCTCCACTGACTTCCGGAGAAGCCAAATTACATCTGTATGGGATTATATACACACAATTCTTGGTCATGTTCTGTTTCCAGCTGTACTCATTATATCTAGGAGATAGATTTGTTGTTGTCCATGATTCTTCTGCCTGTTTATGAAAACTAAGCTAAATAACGTGTGTATGTGTGTTATATATATTGTACCAATTTCATTGATAGAATTTTCCAAATTACGAATAATCCTTCTCAAATAAGGAAGAAATTCTATCAGAAACTGTCCAAAGTTCATTTTGGAAGAAACATGATTCAAGCTTTTGACAAGTCATCATCAGAGTAGGTAGAGACTGATGATGACTTAGAAAATCAAAAGTTTGGACTGTGAAGGAGTGAGGTGGATAGCAGCTTGAATTCCAGTTGAATTTTTTTACATTCACTTACATGCAAATATCCTTAGGAAAGTTATCAAACCTTCTCCCCCAGTTATGAGTAAATAGCATGAGAGATTAGGTTCTATCACCCTGGGGGTGTCAACCTGTGTAGGAGGAAAACAACTCTGGATTCAAAACCTGAGGAGGATCATTTGGGACTTTGTGGTATGCTATGAACCAGCTCCCTGTATTTGGCTCATCCAAAAAGTGTAGGCAGTTCTGCACAAGCCTTCACCACTATATGTGCAGATAGCTTGGCTGTTTGGTTCTAAGAACAAGGATGATAGACCCTCACATACAGAGTGCGATGGGTAAATTGTCACCATTTTATATTTTTAATTGTGTATGCACATTGTTTCATTCTTGATTTTGTCGACTGAACAATATAGTAGGGTCAGTTGGGCACCGGCTGTAAGAAAAAGAGCACCATGACAGAATTCACTCTGCCAGAAATTTAGAAACAATATGCTGTACTGCTTGGCATTCATGCTGGAAGTTCCAATACAAACATTTCAGAGTGTTATGGTGTCAATCTGAGGACAGTGCAGAGGATTTGGAAAACAGTTGGATGAGTCTAATGGTGATTATGAAGGTATGGCAGCTTCGAAAATACACGCTAATCGTTGTGACAAAAAAAAAAAAAAAAAAAAGAACTCCCAAATTTGTTGGTGAGGGCCTAGGACTCAACACGGAGGATTACATAAAGTGCCTTGAGGAGGGATGGTGGCTGTTGGAAAACTATGTCTAGCAACAGGACTCTGCACTATGCCATGCAGCAAGAGAACACAGTCATGGCTGTCAGAAAATTTCTGTGACCACATCACTCCTTACATCTGGCCACCTAACGCCCCAGACTGCAACCCAACTTGATAATTATGTGTGGGTAACAGTTGAGTGAGGGACCAATAATACTCCTTGTAACACAAACGAGGAACTGAAGGCAAGGATTATGGCAGCATTCCCTAACTTAAAGGAGACCATCCAGAAGAGTTGCAGGAGATTCTGAAGCCATCTGGAGTCCACAGTTGAATCCAATGGCGATTTTATTCAATAAATCGACTCTTTAATATTTGAAGATAATTTTGTGGAATATTGGTGAAGATATTGGCGTGATTTCCTCATTTTGGGTCTTGGAATTTTATAGATTTCAAGCAATGTAGATCAAGTAGTCATCAGTTTCTTATTTAAAAAAAAAAAAAAATTATCAACAAAAATTTAATTTTTTGTCAATACTTACAATGTTATCCCTAACCATAAAACTAAATTTATATATATATATATATATATATATATAGTTCGCTTTTGTTTGTCCTTTAATTCAATAGTAGAAGCAGGCACAACATAACATTATTTGTTACCTCCCTTTGGTATTTTTAACTACATTATAAAGTTAGTTTATGAATTGATAACAAACTTGTACCAAACAATTTTGGTATGCTTTTGAATATTTACTATATATACATATATAAATGGTACAGCATCTCAATATCGAGAGGCAGGGTGAGATTTCATCAGGAATCTAGAAATATTCAGAAATTTAAGAAAAACCCAAGAAAAAGATTTTTAGCCTTACATATTTATGTGAGGAGGGAGAAAAAAACAAATAATTAGGATAAAGTAAATCTGTTGTTTGTGTTACCTGGCATCATACCCGGTGGAGGTCCTCTCATTGCAGGGGGTGGAGGTGCAGCACGTCCCATTGGTGGAGGCCCTCGCATTCCCATCATCATATTGCCTGAAGGTCCTGCACCCCGACCTGGAGCTAGAAAATAAAACAAATTTTTTTGTAAATACAAAACAAAAACATTTTATGTAAGAATACTGGTATATTTATTCTTTGTTGATATAATAAAATAAAAAAAAATAAATAAGACTCAAGTGAATAATGGATTTATAGTGTGCAACAAACAATCTGTGAAAGGAAGCTGACATTTGTTTTGGACAAACAGATTAGGGATTAATAAAACTATTTTCAAATGTCTTGAAACAAATTTATATTATATATCTATATATTAGATAACAGAGGGGGATGCATGAATAAAGACAAAAGCAAAACTTGTCTTAGTCGAAACATTTCCTCCTCTCATGGACTTTATCAAGGGATTTCATTTTGCAACAAGTATTTATACAAAAGAACAAAAATGTCATTGGCTTTTCAAAATCTTTAAATTGAATAATACTCTGAAATATTCAACAGGCTAGCCTAAAAGTCTAGGCAAGATATGGAAGACATCAATTATCACAATTCAATGTCGAAAAGCGAGTAAATGATGCTTGTGAGTTTTTTTTTAATGCAAATTATTATTTAAATTATTTTTGTCTTTATTCATATTGCCCTTACAGATATGCTCTGAAATTTTTGAGATTCATATATATATATATATATAAATATATAAAAAAAAAAAAAAAAAAAAAAAAGGCAGGAAAAAAAAATGTCAGATTCTCACTATTTTTCACCCAATAAAAGGTTCAAGAGTCACTCAAGGTAGAGGGTTACTAAATGAGATGTTGCCCAGGAATCAAAGCAGTAGAACTTCTTGAGCTAGAATCATCATGCCCCAACAAGGGACCCAGATACAAAGACAAACTTGCTGGTTTAAAAGGAGCGAAAAACCCTTTAGGAGAGTGGGGCCCACAAAGGCTGTACAGGGTTAAACCGACATCCCTCATAGCAGTAAAGAAATACCTATAGAGAGATTTGGTGTGACCATATAGCTGACTGTAGGAACATGGATCTAACTAACTGGGCGTTGCAGTAAAGTTTTCACTTTAGGTAGATGTCATTCTGACTTTAACAGACTTCCAATTTAGAACAAGAAAAGAAACATGAAACTTGATAATCGACAAAAATGGATTTGTAGCAATGTGGGAAAACTAAATGATGTCCTCTTATTAGATATCAGCCTACTCAACAAGCTAGAATAGAAGATAGAAAATCCCATCGGCTATCAGAATTATGCCCGCTTACCAAGACAATATGAGAAGAGAATATGAGAAGAGAAGGAATAAATGATGGCTGCAGTAATTGAAAATGAAAAAAAAAAAAAAAAAGATATAAAAAGAAATCTTTTCTACCCATAGACAGATCAGCTTCAGGGCTGGTCAACAAATAAATTAGCATTGTCCTATGTGCATTGACAGGTTAGCTGTTACAAAAGAGACCAGGGTCTTCAAACTACACTTTAAAGTCTTTCAAATCCGTTCCTGATGATAACCTGAAGGTGATAGTTGAAACGTTATTATTCAACAACATAATTCTAAACCCAATGACAAGATTAATTTGCGTTTAGTAAATTCATGAGGCACTTAGCGAGGGTTCCTAACAATAGCCATTATCATGTGAAAAGAAGTCAGCCCATGCCATATGAAGGTTGGGCTTGACGTCCACACTCGCATATAGCTCTCAGCATCAAACAACATCTAATCAAATCTTTTACATTTACCCAGCCATAGTTCCAAGCACAATACATGATCTTAATTTGAAGGTCACTAAGGCGCCATACACAGGAGCAGAATGGGGAGGAAGAAAACTGAGGCGCCATACACAGGAGCAGAATGGGGAGGAAGAAAACTGAGGCGCCACACACAGAATGGGAGGAAAAACTGAGGCAGAGCAGAATGGGAGGAAGAAAACTGAGGCGCCATACACAGGAGCAGAATGGGGAGGAAGAAAACTGAGGCGCCATACACAGGAGCAGAATGGGGAGGAAGAAAACTGAGGCGCCATACACAGGAGCAGAATGGGGAGGAAGAAAAACTGAGGCGCCATGCACAGGAGCAGAGAATGGGGAGGAAGAAACTGAGGCGCCATACACAGGAGCAGAATGGGAGGAAGAAAAAAAACTGAGGCGCCATACACAGGAGCAGCAGAATGGGGAGGAAGAAAACTGAGGCGCCATACACAGGAGCAGAATGGGGAGGAAGAAAACTGAGGCGCCATACACAGGAGCAGAATGGGGAGGAAGAAAACTGAGGCGCCATACACAGGAGCAGAATGGAGAGGAAGAAAACTGAGGCGCCATACACAGGAGCAGAATGGGGAGGAAGAAAACTGAGGCGCCAAACAGAGGAGCACGAGGGGGGGAAGGACACTGAGGCGCCATACACAGGAGCAGAATGGGGAGGAAGAAAACTGAGGCGCCATACACAGGAGCAGAATGGGAGGAAGAAAACTGAGGGAAACAGAGGGAGCAGGGGGAGGAAGGACACTGAGGCGCCAAACAGAGGAGCACGAGGGGAGGAAGGACACTGAGGCGCCAAACAGAGGAGCAGAGGGGGAGGAAGGACACTGAGGCGCCAAACAGAGGAGCACGAGGGGAGGAAGGACACTGAGGCGCCAAACAGAGGAGCACGAGGGGGAGGAAGGACACTGAGGCGCCAAACAGAGGAGCACGAGGGGGAGGAAGGACACTGAGGCGCCAAACAGAGGAGCACGAGGGGGGGAAGGACACTGAGGCGCCAAACAGAGGAGCACGAGGGGGAGGAAGGACCTGAGGCACCACAGAGGAGCACGAGGGAGAGGAAGGACCCTGAGGCGCCATACAGAGGAACAGAGAGGTGGAGGAAGGACCCTGAGGTGCCATACAGAGGAACAGAGAGGCGGAGGAAGGACCCTGAGGCGCCATACAGAGGAACAGAGAGGCGGAGGAAGGACCCTGAGGCGCCAGAGGAACAGAGAGGTGGAGAAAGGACCTGAGGTGCCAGAGGAACAGAGAGGTGGAGGAAGGACCCTGAGGTGCCATACAGAGGAACAGAGAGGCGGAGGAAGGACCCTGAGGCGCCATACAGAGGAACAGAGTGTGGTAGATGATAGTAACAGCCTTAGCTGAATTCGAACACACTTCACCAATTCTTATTTCCTTAGCATTATTTGACCTTAAGTTGCCATATAACTTAACTTTAGGATACAATATAAAAAATAAAAAATATGGTTAATTAAAACTTTCACTGATGCATTGATATAACTTTGTTGCCTGGCTGGGACAGACCATTTTGGAGAAAAAAAATTAGGAAATGGCAATTTTTCTGAAAATAAATGACTATTTGATGTGGATGGTGATTTTTTCATTAACACCATTTTGATTTTGATAGGATACACTGCAATACAGATTAAGAATATAATTTAAATACATCATAAAAATTATATTTATGCTGCTATATCTTGACAGTGAGAAATATCCCTAAGCAATAGGCAACTAAAGGACCAAAATTTTAAGTTGCCTTGAAAATGTAATTGTGTGTAAACAGCAGACAATGTGTATATCTTTCATTAAATGACAGACAAGGAAAATTTAATTTTTTTTTTTTTTTTTATTTAGTCTTTCTAGATTTGCTGAGAGAACTGTCAATTGTCCCAAGCATTTTCAAACAATTCTTTAGGCATTTTCAAGGGGGTTTTGTTTTCTCTTCATGTTTTGACTGTTTTTTTTCTTTTTGTCTGTGTTTTGAATTTTTGCCCACCCTTACTGCAACCAAACACTGGAAAAACTAAGAAAATAAAATAAAATTTCCTTGTCTGACATATTTAACAAAAGATGTTTAAAAGAAAGGTTACCACCCAAATTATAATGTGTGTGTCAATAGTGGGAGATATGAAGTCTGTCCACAAGAGCAAAAGTGTCATGTCATATGTAATGAGAAAAATATTTTCTAATTTATCTAAAGCTAAATTTGCAGTTGTTCAATAATTATGATTGGTCAATTTTTTTTGTTTTTTGTTTTTTGTTTTGTTTTTACAGCTTATCAACTTTTTGCAGGTTATTTAAAGCTAGAAAATATTTTTACATTGTAAGAATTTGGGGAGATAATGATTTATTCATACAAGTCCTAATTAATCCATAGATGGTGGGATTAAGGTGGCTTCATACATTTCCCCAAGGGTATTTGCACATAAGTGAATATAACAAACCCAACTCGAATTGGGATTCAGCTCCCCCAACTCGAATTGGGATTCAGCTCCCCAATTTCCAAGCCATTATCAATTACACCACCCTCACAGCCAAGTTTAAAGCACCTGGTATTCCTAAACAGTAACCTATCTAGGTACTGACCAGGTTTGATATTGCTTAACTTTGGTAATCACACAAGAGCCAATGATTCAAAGTGCTAAATGCCTGGTCTCATTTATTGACAAATATTGGAGCTACAAGGTACATTTATATCTGGGCAAAACAAGTACTTAACATCTGGGGTGTCCATACTAATAATTGATATAACAGCAATTTAGATCCTGTTGTCTGGATAGGTTAATTATGGGTAATGTACTTTCACACCAACTCTTTTCAGTCTATCACTGTGGCATGACAGTAACAAGAGCCGAGTCAAAATGAATTGGTGATAGAAAAAGAATGAACAGGAAATTGGATTCATGCTTTTATTAATGTCATAAGTTGCAAAGTGAACTGGAATTCAATGATTGATAAGCAGCTATACGATCTTACAGCTGCAGCTAAACAGTCTTGGTTCAAATACTTCTGGGAGTGGGACATTGAAAAGCAACACCAGCTTATCCCTTGCTCCACTACAATAAAAAAATTAAATGCTTAAATAATTTTTTAACAATGATATTCACCCTGTACAAGGCCTAAGAGCCACTTGAGATAGGTTACAAAGTAAGAGGCACAACTCCAAGCAAGGTCATAATAACACCAAGGTGCAAAGGCTACCAGAAGGAAAAGACTTTAGAGGGAATTGGAAAGCCAATAATAAACAGCAAACAACAAATAAACCACCACTCCTGTTGTCTAAAAAAAAAAAAAAAAAAAAAAAGACAACAAGGAGTGTGAACCAGGGGATAAACAAACTTTTCTACACAGATTGAGGGAAAAAAACATAAATAAATAGTAAATAAAAGTGTTAAAAGTTATAGGCAGAGATGTTAGAAGTATAGAGGTGAAGCAGGCTTTAGAAGGAACCAGAAAGAATCCTAAACAGGAAACTAGGGATAAACCTCTACTCCTGTTCAAAATACATCAGGTTTTGTTTTCCTTTACACTAATTTTATTATAGAAGTCAATATAGTCTAAAAAAATTTTAAAAAAAAATAAAAAAAAAATAAAATAAAACACCAACAAGACACCAACATCAACAAAACGCCAACAAGACACTGACAACATGCCAACAACACACCAACACCGACAACACGCCAACAACACAACGCCAACAACAACACACCAACAACACACCGACAACAACAACACACCGACAACAACAACAACAACACACCGACAACAACAACAACAACAACAACAACACCGACAACAACAACAACAACACACCGACAACAACAACAACAACACACCGACAACAACACACAACACAACAACAACACACCGACAACACGTCAACTGCAACAAAAAACAACAACAGCATTAAGAAAGGGATTGTCCAATGCTTACAACACCTTGCAAAAATAATGTGGCAATCCAGACACATATCAACAGATGATCAATATTAAACATACCCTTCAGAGTAACAATTGACTGAAGGGTCAAAAGGAGGTGAACCAGAAAACTCAGTCTGTCTCCCTTACATAAAGGGCTTAGCACAGGAAAAAAAAAAAAAAAAAAAGATTTAGAAGATCTGCAGTCCATACAACATTAAAACAATATTCCAAAGTGTCTCCTCTCTATGGAGAGATCTCTGCTAAGTCAACTGCATGTATTCCATTCCTTGCAGTTGTGGCAAAGAATATCAAGTTGAAACTAGCCACCACCAAAAGGTTATAATTAAGGGTGAATCAATGGAATCAGGCATGGGAAATCATGTATTGAGAGAAAAGGTTAGTTATCAACCCCCTTATGAATGAAATAAAAATACTAAACAGAAAAACACAGGAGAGTTTGAGAGAATCAGCACATATGCTATAACATCTTTAACAGGCTTAACATAAAGATAAACAAGATATCAGAGCTATTAATTTAAGAAAAAGAAAAAAATGATAGCAGCAGCAGCAGTCAAATTATGTTCATGGTTCCAAGTTCTCCACTCAACAATGGATTAAAGTGTTGGTTCATAAATCTGATGACAAAGTAATTATCAGTTCAATTCTTCAGTTGAGCAATGTTGACAAGAAAGCAGTGCTAAATAAGAAAGAGCTACACAGATATTGTCAGTGGAATGAGAACAATTCCCGAAATCCATGAAGGTTTCTTAGATTGATAAATAAGGCCAGAGAGCCCAACGACCAAAACGTGATAAAGATGTGGACAACAGTTTGCATATATATATATATATATATATATATATATATATATATATATATATATATATATATATATATATATATATATATATATATATATATATAATATATATATATTGTAAGTAGTATAAAGCACTTAATGAGAACAGACATTATGTTGTTATGTTTCAGCTGTTGTACATTCAAGCCTTCATCAAGTGTTTGCTAATCCAGAAAACCATCAGGAAATTTTAAACTAAACCCTTCATTTTACAGGAGTTAAAAAAAAGAATAAATTTTAAAAACCTGATTTTTTTTTTTTTTTAATTTTCTTTTTGCACATGGAGAAAGCAATAGAAAGAGCAAAGCAGATATGAATAGCTTGAGAGATTAAGACTGACAATGGAATAATTTACGTTTCCCAAATAAATTATATCTGGCTAACTTTTCCCAATTTAGTCAATAAAAATCTATATTTAATTTTTATCATTTTTTTAAGGTGTTGGTGCATTTACATTCAATCAACAGTCTTGTTTTTGTTTTGTTTTTTTCAGATAAAGTTATACAACTATTTTATTCTTACAGTATTTTAAAATAACAGATTGACACCGTGATCATCAGCTATCTATGAATTGTATATAAATAATCTTGTAAATTTTTTTCATGATTAGTTTGCTAGCAACACTGCCAGCCAATGTTTTTTTAAAACTTGGATCTGGGTTTTGCAATTTCTGTCTCTGTTGTTGGAATTTAATAGAATGTTGAACAGTGATATACTTTGTAGTTAAGCAAATCCTGTTAGCAGTGGCATCATCTTCTGATGATAAACGAGTTTTCTTGTCCTATGGATTGTTGCATTTCAAACTGAGAAACAGCCTCGGTGCCGATAAAGAAGCAAAACTGGTCCTTCTATTGAAATCCATGAATACAAACACTGCTCATGTCAAATTTTTTAATTTTTATTTTACAGTAAGAAAAAAATTATTCAGTTGATTAATATCTGATTCACTTTGTTTAACACTTTTCTTCCTTCATGAAATTACATGAAAACAAAAATATCGTTTTATTTCTAAATCTTGCTTTAAATAAAGATTTTTGTAAAATAATTTAAATCAGTGACTTTAAAAAAAAAAAATAAAAAATAAAAAAAAATAAAAATCATTTGATTTAAATTGAACAACCCTGCTCACTACTGTAAAAGGTAAGTGAAAACCCGACATTTCAAAATTAAAATTATTCCAAGACTTAATATGTTATAAAATTAACAGGGATGATTAAGTGAAATACCCATCTCCTCACTAGTTGTACAGGATTATACAGGACTAGTAAAAAGGCAGTAATCCACTTGATCTGATCCATCATGAGAGGTGGTTTTCATGATTTGCTCAGACATATGAGGAGGTGCTGAAAAGTTAAACCCACTAGTCACAAACTAAACATTATATTTTCTAAGACCAGTCTAACTTGACCAGTCTAAAAACGTTTCAGTACCTCCCTCTCTTAAGTGCAAAGCAAACAAAAATAGCCTCAACCAGAATTTATCCACTTGTTGGCAAATTCCAGTACCTCCAGTTGACAACTCCATTTTGTTCAAATCTCAAT